GGATGGATGGATGGATGGATGGATGGATGGATGGATGGATGGATGGATGGATGGTTGGATGGATGGATGGATGGATGAAACACGAAGACTGGTGCAGAATGTTTTTCCAATGTTTATTTAGACTTTCTAATGCATGTTTTGCTGTATTGAGGTAGTGTTTTAGCATTTCTCTGTTTTGAAAGCTGTACTTATGGGTAAAAACTCTTTCTTTCGAATGCAGATAGCAGAGGTCTTGTACCCCACAGCCGACTATGTGAGCGTGGATTTAAACAGGATTCAAGGCCTGGAAGCCAGAGAAGTCATTGTAAGGACGTTATCAACCCAAGGAGAGTCCCAGGATTCACCTGTGGCTATGATCCCACACAATCTCCTGGGCTCTCCACGCCTCTCCCACCGAGTCACCGCCCCTCCCCCTTCTATCCCCCATCCAGTGCCACAACCCCATCAAGTACATTCTCAAACCCATCCTCCTTATCCATCAACATATCCTCCAAATCACCCTCAGCCCCAGGTTCAGCCTCTGCCTCGAGCTCAGCCACACACGCTACCACACGCACAACCACACTCGCAGCCTGTATGTCAACCTCCCCATCCTCAGCTACATTTTCAGCGCCACTCCATACCCAAGTCAAAACCATTAATAAGTGCCAGAGAGCCAGAAACCAAAGAGCATGAGGTGGGCCTGCGGCTAGCCCAGCCGTGGGAGCGCTCGCCCTCTCCGCTGCCACCCATGCACGGACCCAACTTGGAGCCTCCGCTCTTCCCACCCCGGCGATCACCCTCTCCTCAGAGGATTCTGCCACAGCCTCAGGGAGTCCCTATACCCAACACCATCGCCAAGGCCATGGCAAGAGAAGCTGCTCAGAGAGCTTTTGCCGAGGCTAATCGGGTGCGAGTCTGACACTTCATTTTTTCTTTTTGTCATGATTCCTTTTACTTTTTTGGACCATGTTCACTATTCTCTTTTCTAACTTTTCTCTTTGAAATTCTAAAAGCGTAATATAATGGTTGACAGGTTGACAAAAGGAATATCTTCAGTGATCGAGGTAACGCCTTGCCTCCGCTCAACTCAGACGAGGAGGAGGATGGCTACGATTCTCCACATGCCAGACGAAGAGGAGCCTCAGTAGACGAGTTCCTCAGAGGTTCAGAGTTGGGCCGACAGGTACATTTCCAGAGATCCCAAGCTTTAGTGTCCGTCTACCTGTTGGTTAAATATCTTATCTTGGACTGTTTTTTTTTTTTTTTTGGTCAACGCAAAAAACAAAAAAAAAAAGCATTTTTTTTTCTTGAAATATATGTATTTTCTCTTGATTCAGGCATGTAAGTAGCACAATTGTCAATAAGAAAAATAAGAAATAAGAAACTCAGTTATCTTATTTCAAGTGCATAATATCTAATTTTGTTGTTTTAAAGGGAAATGCTCACTCCATTAATAGATGATCTGTTTTCCCTGCTCTAGTTAAGTGCAAATACACTGATTATAAGAAATGTTAAGAATTATTATTATATATTTTTTAAGAAATGTTAATCTTAAAATTTGTTTTTACAGTGTTAGGTTAAAGAAAGAGCAAAAAGAGAAGATCCCCCTCTTTGAATTAGACACTTTACTGCTTTACTTTATGAAATTATAAATGAATAAAGCTCAAAATTGTCATCAGTGTTTATACTTTTGTTATAATCACATTTTGACTTTATATAAAGCAGCTTAGCCAGAAAAACAACTTCCAAAGTTGTCAAACTCGATTTTTTTTTATGTATAAGAATCATCATAGGTTAAATGTTTGTTTTCATATTTATGTAACCTTTCATGTTACTGCTTTAGAATAATTTTCACCTTGTTGTATATTTTTGGAGTGAATTCTGTTCCATTATTTCTGCAAGCAAACAACATGTACATTTAAATTTGAAAAAGTAATGCAATCTAGAAATGAAACTTTGAAGAACTTCTTAATCAAGTAAAAGAGTTTGAGAGTAACTTTGCTGTTCTATCAGATTTTATATTTTCAACTTTAATTTTTTTAATTTCTCTTTTTTCAGATTGAGTTTTAGCAACTGCATTTTTTTAAATCGTGTTTTACAGATTAAATTTACTTAAGTTCTGGAGGAAGGCTTTCCTCTAGAATGAGAAGATCCTTTTCCAATGTTCTGCATGGACGTTAGAAACAGCATTTTTATTGGTCATGAGCGTTTTTGTATTGGGGTTTAAAAAAGAAAATGTGATCTGTAAAACACAATGAAAAGAGGCAATTGGTAGAACTTAATATAAAAAAGGGAAATAAAACAATCAATATAAAATCTGTCAAAAATGTAAATAAAAAATTAAGTTTAAAAAATAAGTAATACAAAAAGAAAACAGTAAAAATGTATCTAATTTTTTTTTTTATGGTTTATTTTTGGATTGCATTTTTTTTAATCTGTGTTTCTTGCTTTCAAAATTCTTGCAACATAATTCCCTCTCTATATATTTATGTTGTGTAAACACCTTAGGTTTTTTCTCTCGTAATATGAGAACTCAAAAGAGAGAAAATATGTTTTTGTAGAGCAGCAATAAAAATGTCCCCCTGTCAGCCTCCTCTTTCTATTGGTTGTCTTATTTTTGTAGCACCACCATCATCACTACAGCCACAGTGAAGAGTACCACACTGAGAGTAGCCGGGGCTCTGACCTGTCTGACATAATGGAGGAAGATGAGGAAGATCTTTACTCTGAGATGCAGCTGGAAGAGGGTCGCAGACGCAGCATCAACTCTCACAGCACTCTTAAGGTACATACTTCACTGCACATCTGCAACAGTTTGATGGCGAATGACAAAAAGTCTTTTAGGGAGATATAGATACATCCCCTGTACTGCATTAGTCCAGCCGATGGCTTTGCCTGGCTGTACCCCATGACTAGAATCAGCCGAACCTGCTGCTTCAAACCAACCTTCCTATCCTGCTTTATTCATTTCAGGCTGAGCTTGTGGAGATTGCTTTGCAAACATGAATATATAAATTGCATGCAAGAGCACAGTACTAAAAAACACAAATTGAAAAAGAAAAAATCATAATTTCGTTTGCAATGTCCTCTAAAGCTGTTGATAATGCATCCAGGTGGCTCTAAAAGTAATAAAGTGATGCAAAAATATGAGGCGGCAGTGCAAACATTAATGTACTTAACTGTATCAGGGTCATGGCATATCAAGTGCATACAGGAATCTCATTTAAGTGAGCACTTAAATGGTTATTTTCACTTGTGTTCACGTCTGTCATGTCTGGATGTCTAACTTTTAATGTTACCATAATTGGCACATTCATCATTCAGTCTGTAAGTGTCAATGTGTGGATGTACAGGATCATGATTGAAAAATTAGGATTCAGAGTCACTTTAGCCAATGAATAATTGTGGTCGGACAGTATTTAGTTTTATAGCCATGGAAACTCAATAATATTGAGGTTTGACTTGTTTTCTTGTCAGAACTGTGATGTAATATTTTGTTCATATAAGGTGTACTAAAACTAAATACGCCTCTCCTTGTTGTCTGTTTGTATTTAAAAGTATGTTTTGCCTCTTTATTTATACTCATTAAAATCATTTAAAAACAATAGCTTTTATTTTAGTAATGATCTTCAACTATTTACTGGAATGGGAGATATCTGTGTTTTCCATTTCTTGTATTTCAATCACATTCATCTTTCTGTTTATGCCATAGCTATGGTCTTAACTTCTTTCTCATGGGTTAGACTGTCCACATCCCATGTTCTTCTTTGAAGGTGTTCCTCCATCTTTGAACCTACACAGATTCCTGTTCAGAGCATGCGACTTTCCTCTTCACGGAATGAGACTGCATGTGTTTCTACATTGCCACAAATAACTAATTCTGTCTTTATTTTTGTCTTTTCCCCCCCATTTGTTCTATTCACATACTATGTTGTTTCCTGCCTGTTCTAAAAACCTTCGAAAAACGTTCAAACCCCCCTTCACAATTTATATAAACTGCACCCGTTTGAATTGAACCGACCCTGAATGAACTTTAAAACTGTGGACCATTACTTCCTGGTTATGATGTAGGCGTATTACAAGCGTCAGGACTTAGCAGAAGAAAGAGACTGTTGGGATCTCCAGAGGGAAGTGGTGAGGCAGAGGTCGCTCCGCAGCAAACGTCTCCACAGCATCCCGGAGGTGGCAGAGGAGGAGTCGGACAGCTTGGACAGTATGGGCCAGCATCTGAGCTTTGAGGAAGGCGGGCGACCTGGGACGCCTCAAACTCAGCGCAGGATGTACAACCAGGAGCCCCACATGAGTGACCACCTCAGCCACGGCAAGAACAGCCGCCTGCAGCGCCAACGCTCCTCCCCTCGCTTCACCGACAGCCGCTATGGTTACAATGCAGATGACCGCAATTATGGACGACCCAATCGGCAGAACACCAAGAGCCCTGACAGTGGTTTAGACTGTGGCAGTGAGGAAGAGGGGTCCCTGGGAAGGGGTCATCGGGGATATTATGCCCATGGAAGTCCCATACGGGGGTCTGTTCGCATCATCCACTGTGAGGGCCCAGTAGAAAGGCGAGCACTAGCAATGGGCCGTAAAAGAACTCTGACCCGTCAGTGCAGTGTTGAGGAGGAGTTCTCGGACCCCCCTGTGACTACCACCAAATCCGTACATTCGGGTGACTTTAGGAACAGGGAGCACATTGGGTCTGGTCGGGAGGTCGGTCCAAGAAACTACTCCAGGGAAGGAGCCCTGAGCGAGGGCAGGCTGAACGAGCTGGACAGGGTGTATTACAGCCCCCACAGGGAGGCTAGGACCCAGTCTTTGTCCAGGCTCAACCGGGACCAGCCGCTGGTGTGTGAATCAGAATTTCTGCTGTATTTTCTATCAGCAAACTGCAGCCTTTGTTTTTCGTTTTAAGTGAGCTCCTGTTTTCTTTGATTTGCCTTCTTTTTTTTGTTTTTTATTTCTGGACGAGATGTCATGTTCATGGTTGGTCTCATTTGAGTTCCTGTTTTGTGAGAATTACTTTGTTTGTTATTCGGAATGCTAGCTGATTTTTTTTGAAGTAATTTTTGTTTTTTATTACCTAAAGGCCATTTTAGGTTTTGATTCCTCATGTCTTTGAGGGAAAAGGCTCCATTTGAAGGAAAGTCTCTGTGCAGTGCATGGGGACGTGCTGCTCATGCCTCTTCTTGCTTGCCTGTGCCTTCCCTCTGCCAGCTGCCGCCTTCATATGTTGCTGTTTTTGTCCCTCTCACGAGAGCTGCAGTCATAGCGCTCCATCAGGTGCTCGGAGCTTTATGTCAGCATCTCTTGCCCTTCATTGCTACATGTACAAAGAAAGGACAAATCAAGACTTACCCTTCCTAAAGGAATTATTTTGAAGTCCATAAAATCATCTCTTGCTAGTAATGCACCAACCAGAACTTCACTGCCAATTTTCATCCTTCTCTTTTTCATAAAGCTTTAACCGTACAATCCCAATTTTGGCTACTTCTGACATCTACTTAATACCTTAAATATGCTTTCTGCTGTATTACAACTTCAGGTTTTTATTATTTAAACAAATGGCACTTTATGTTGCCGTAGCACCTTTCTTTATACAAATCTGTCATATATATACTGCACAATTCAATTAAAAAACATATTTATAAGAGGGAAGAATTTGTGCAAATGAAAAGTTGCAATAGTCTGGTTAAACAAATACATAAACTCTTAAACGAAAGAAGAAGATTGCTGACATTGAAACAACAGCAATTTCAGGTTTTTTTTTTTTTAGGTCATTCATATGGCTAAAGGAAGGTGAAAGACACAACACTTCGTCAAAGTTTTATACAACCTTTGTAGAGGAGTGTTATAATCCCATTAAACCAAACTATGTGTTACCTAAGGCATCACAAGTATTAAATTAGTTCACAAGAAATATAAAAGCCTTGAATGGCTTAGTCAGAGGAAGGCAGATGTGAAGGTGCCTGTCCACATTTCTGGTCAGATTATGAGTATTTGATTAGGAAGAGTTACTTTTTTTATCATTTTTGTTTCAATTGAATTCAGTTTTTTTATATAGCACCAATTCACAACATGTCATCTCAAGGCACTTTGCATAGACGATTCAACTAGATCATCCAATCTGATTGGTTCAGTTTTCCCTCTAACAGATATTTGACTTACTTATACAATATAATTTTGAAGGTGTTCATAATACCAAGTAGAAGATGACAAACAAAAACAAATGATCGTGAAGTTCTCATTTTAATCTCCTTAGACTCACCATTGCTTTCTTTCTGCCTAACATTTTCAGGTGCTGTGGAGGTTTTAGAAGACCCAAATTCAGAGATGAGGAAGCGGAGATAGGTTTAGCTGATTTAATTGAGGTTCCAGAGACAACAGAGTCAAAAATCTAGGAGCAAAATAAGAAACCATAAAACAGGAGATTCCAGTGAGAAAGAACAAGCAAGCAAGCAACAAAGCAACAAGAAAACAGTAATGAGGAACTGCAGAGGTGGTGTATATATGGGGAACAGAACAAAGAATGTGCTAATGAGCTGATATGGAGCAGGTGTGGATAGAAGTAACCAGAAGGAGCCATCATTTCTGTTTTATCACTTGTTGTTAAAGTGTGGTGGAGGTTGGTGGAGAAACCAAATGCAGAGATGATGAGGCAGAGATGAGTTTTGCAGATTTAATAAGGTTCGAGAGGCAATGGGGCAAAAATACAAAATACTGGAAANGAGAAACCAAATGCAGAGATGATGAGGCAGAGATGAGTTTTGCAGATTTAATAAGGTTCGAGAGGCAATGGGGCAAAAATACAAAATACTGGAAACCAAAAACTCAGTAAACATTCAGGAGAATACACATGGGGAGCAAGGATATGACAAAGCAACAAAATAATGAGAAATCAGCTATGAGGAACTGCAGAGGTGGTGTATATATGAGGAACAGAACAAAGAATGTGCTAATGAGCTGATATGGAGCAGGTGTGGATACAGTAGAAGTAACTAGAAGAAGCCATCGTTTCTGTTTCATCACTTGTTGTTAAAGTTTGGTGGAGGTTGGTTGAGAAACCAAATGCAGAGATGATGAGGCAGAGATGAGTTTTGCAGATTTAATAAGGTTCGAGAGGCAATGGGGCAAAAATACAAAATACTGGAAACCAAAAACTCAGTAAACATTCAGGAGAATACACATGGGGAGCAAGGATATGACAAAGCAACAAAAAAATGGATAATCTCTGATTGAACTCTCTTCAAAAAAGTTTAGTAACTGCTTCGCCATCATCCTGATGGAAT